CAAACAAAGTTGAGACTCAGGGAGAAACAAGCGCTCAGTAAAACTCAATGTGATCTCAGCTTGGCTAGAGGACAAAAACTCAAAATGCAAAACTCAGATTAGACTCAGCATAAACAAGGCTTGGCTAGAGTACCCCAAACTGGCAAACACTCTGGTGTCGAAGTAGTGGCAACCAGCAGCTTAGAGCAGCTAAGAGCAGTCTGGTGATGAGGAAACAGCTTACTGGTGTGTGAGGAGGCGAACCGGAGCCAGGCGCCTCCTGGTGGTGGAAGGGAGAAACACAAAAGACAAGACAAATAGACGAACACAAAAACTGGGATCCTGACAATTATTATGTTATTATTTTATCCCAAACTGTTTAAATTTGATCATTGCTGCGCTTTATTAAATGGAACTGTTCATTTACCGTCTGAAAAGCTGTACTAAACAAAAATTGTTTTGTATACATTCTGTATACAAAATGACAATAAAAGTTGTCTAAGTCAATATTAGACTTCTGTTCAAGTCACAGATTGTCCATAATGAACACCATGTTCAAGCGTAAGGATTTCCATCAGCATACTTGGCACCAGGACACCCTAGGCTGGAGGTTGATGATCAACTTTGTTGTATCTTCTGACCTTCGTTCACATGTCTTGGACAAGAAAGGGACGAAGCTGTCTGTTGACCACCACCTGGTAGGGAGCTGGACAGACTCGACAAGCCCAAGCGAGTAATGAGGGTCTGCTGGGAATGTCTGGTGGAGCCCTCTCCAGAGACATATTCAACTCCCACTTTCAGAAGAGTTTCTCCCAGATTCTGGGGTAGACAGGACACCCAGAGTCTGCGGGGACAATGGTCTGAGCCTCTATTGTTGATGTGGCCACAAGGTAAACATGTAGCTGGAAGTCCCACAGGATTTTAGCTCTGATATTCTCCACCTCCTATTGAGATGGCTCCCATTTTGACCTGGTGGTTTCCACTTTTTATTCTGCCCATATGTTTCTGTACAGTATAACAAAACCTTATAACATTCCATTTATTCATTTTCTGCCAGTACCTTATACTCTGCTGTGAGATGGTGGATTGTTTCTGAGGCCTCTTTGCATAGCCTGCACCTTGGATCTTGCCTGGTATGGTAGATCCAGGCCTTTATTGCTCTGGTGCCAAAGGCCTGCTCTTGTTCAGCCATGATCAGCACTTCTGTGCTGTCCTTTAGTCAGCCCCCTCTAGTCATTGTTGGGACTTATTCATATCAGCCACTTCAGCTATATGTGGGTGGTATGTCTCATGCAGGATTTTTGGTTCTTCCACCCATGATGGTTTCTCAATTTCCTCCTTCCACTGCCTAAGACATACAAAGAGTGATTCATCCCTATACATACAAGTATCTTGGTATTCCAAGATACTTGTTGCTCTCTTCTACATATGTTATTCTCCCTTCTATGAATGTAATTCCCTTCGTATGGATTACCTTCCCTCTTAATGTCACCATCCAGCTACATTTACTTGTGTCTAAGTTCCCAATTGACATACTGGCATCAATGGGGCAACAAACCGAATAAACATGTTTATTTTGGGAAGTTTTTTCCAGTCTTCCAGCAGCTCTTCTTTGCTTTTTCTTTTTTGGTACCTCATTTTGGTATCCATTGTCACTAACACATGTACTTAATGGTTATGGTTTTAATCTGTTGGGATCTGGAGATCTGCCACCTTTCTCCAGCAGAGGGCGCCCTGGGTCTCCTGAGCTGAAGCCACCTGCACACCTGAGGCTGATCATCTTGTCAGGAGACCAGCTATATAAGCAGCGGCTTGACTTCCCTTCAGTGCCAGAGTGTTAAACAGTTATGGTTAGCAAGCCTGAGCCAAACCTGTTGTCTGAAACTCTGCTTTGAAAAGCCAACTGAATCTAACCAGCCTTTTCCTCTCTACCTTCCTAGGAAGACATGATTCACTCCTGGAGCTCAGGAAGAGCTCAAAGCCTGAAACCTGCCTGCCTGCCCTATGAAACCAAACCTGAAGATCTCTGCCTGGATCAACCTGCATGTTCTCAAGGGGAGAGTTAGGAGATCAACTCTAGGTCTGAACCTCATAAGTCTGAAGCCAAGCCCTGCTGCTGCTAAGCCCTCAGCTGACACCTCAGTCTCTGGACCCTTCTGGTTCCCTCCCTCTACTGTTCTGTCTGAACCACATCAGGTACAGATCAATCCAAAGACTCTGACGAGAAACTCCTCTCCATTGGCTAACCAAACTGTCTCCTCTACAGATAGTCCTGTGTTACCGGTTCATGGATCCGTTCCTGCATCTGAACCCAAATAACTTTATTGTGTTTTCTCTTCAATAAAACTGTCTGAACTTTTACTCAGTCTCCGTGGTGTTCTGCATGTGGGTTAAATCAGTTAGACCTGTCATGACATAATCTATGCTCTGGATTAACTATAATTCCAAGTCGTAGTGTAAAAAATAAAATACTCAAATACGTTGTGCTTTTAAGATCTTTATTGCAGTTTGAAGCATATTATATAAGTGTATTTTCTACCAACCATCTAATGAACTATACACAGTTATTAACATAGAAATTAAAAGTACCACTGCTTTGCTATTGGTGTCGTGTTTAAACGGCTCACCGTCATATTGAAATCTGGCATGTGTTGGGGTATAAAAAAGGGGGGGTGGTGTGCTGCTGACCTCAACTCAGGACGTCTTATTTCGGTGGGTGGAGTACTTTGAAGACCTCCTTAATCCCACCAACACATCTTCTATTGAGGAAGCAGAGCCTGGGGGCTCCAGCTCGGGTTCTCCCATCTCTGGTGCTGAAGTCACTGAGGTGGTTAAAAAGCTCCTCGGTGGCAAGGCCCCAGGAGTGGATGAGATTCGCCCTGAGTAACTCAAGGTTCTGGATGTTGTGGGGCTGTGTTGCTTAACGCAGCTCTGCAACATTGCGTGGACATCAGGGGCAGTTCCCCTGGATTGGCAGACTGGGGTGGTGGTCCCTCTATTTAAAAAAGGGGACCGGAGGGTGTGTTCCAACAACAGAGGAATCACGCTCTTAAGTCTCCCTTGTAAGGTCTATTCCGGGGTTCTGGAAAGGAGGGTCCGTCGGATAGTCGAATCTCAGATTCAGGGGGAGCAGTGTGGTTTTCGTCCTGGCCATGGAACACTTGATCAGCTCTACACCCTCAGCAGGATTCTGGAGGGTGCATGGGAGTTTGCCCAACCATTGTAAGTCAGACTGGTGAGGGTAGGACTTTGCCAAGGTTGCCGTTTGTCATCGATTCTGTTCGTAACTTTTACGGAGAGAATTTCTAGGCGCAGCCAAGGTGCTGAGGGGATCTGTATTGGTGGCCTTAGGATTGCATCTATGTTATTCGCAGATCACGTAGTTCTGTTGGCTTCATCAGGGCATGATCTACAGCTCTCACTGGAGCAGTTCGTAGCCGAGTGTGAAGCGGCCATGATGAGGATCAGTGCCTCCAAATCTGAGACCATGGTCTTGAGCCAGGAAAGGGTAGAGTGCCTCTTCCGGTTTTGGGAGGATGTACTGCCCCTAGAGGAGGAGTTTAAGTATGTTGGG